CCCCAAAACCCCAAAACCCCAAAACCCCAAAACCCCTTTTCAATTCAGACTAATTGAGCAATCTTAATAACTAGAACTCACCGACATTTCAGAAAATTTCTGGAATCGGAAAAGTAACAATGAAGCTGATTATCACAAAAGGGGTAGGATAAGTAATTTATGTGCAAAAATATCTTTAAAAATACTTTTTGTTTGCGATATTTTATCTGGTCTTAGGTTTTAGCTTAAGTAGCCTTTCATAACTAATAGCCATCTTTACTACTTTCTTGCAGAGGTTTAATAATTTAGCAATATTTTAAGTTAAGCTCACTGAGATGCTAGTCGAAGATGTTAGGTTAAAGTAGCTTCGATTTCTGCTGAAAAGTTGTATCTTTCAGGTGGCAGAAGATATCGCATATTTAAAAAAAATCCAAACTCATTTTTAATAATTATTAATGATACAGTCTCAAACTACTACACCTGAAATCTTGTTTAAAGACATTTCAGCTGTCGATCTTGACATGATTGCTAGTCTATGAGACCCCAGCTTCATTGCTGCATCCATGATGCTGCAGACGAGTTTGGATGCTCTGTCAGAACATTTCTGTGTCTGTCCTCAGCAGATCCCGACAAGTGACATCGATGCTGTGCAAGAGTGTTCGACGAACGAAGGCTCTCCGAACAACAAAGCTGCATTCAGAAGAACCCGAATCAGCAGCATGCACTTTGACGATAAAGTGGGCACTCTCAGACAAGCTCTGAGTGTGTTCCACAATCCTGATGAAGTAGTTTTTATGAGCAACACCAAAGGAAAAGACAGGATCAACGCCAGCGTCAAAAGATCCAAATACATCGGGGTCTGCAAGAATGGGCCTCACTGGCAAGCACTAATTTCAATAAACAAGAAGAAGACTTACATCGGCACTTACCAGACGCAGGTGCTGGCAGCCAAAGCCTACGACTTGTACTGCATGTTGCTGCAGGGACTTAAGGGGAAGACGAACTTCTGCTACACGAAAGCAGAAGTAGAGGAGATGATTGACAACTATGTTCATCAAGGCAAGAACGAAAATATTTCAGTTTAACCTATCCCGTTAAATCTCTACCTTAGCTAAGCTTCCCGTTCTTAGCTAAAATTCCTTATAAGATACATCATTTTCGATATTTGTTTCTTCCAATTTGATTTTGGTGAATAGGGGTTTTGGGGTTTTGGGGTTTTGGGGTTTTGGGG